ACCACACCTGGCTAATTTTGCATTTTTAGTAGAGACAGTGTTTCTCTGTGTTGGTCAGGTTGGTCTCGAACTCCCGACCTCAGGTGATCCACCCACCTCGGCCTCCCCAAGTGCTGGGATTACAGGGGTGAGCCACCACACCCGGCCCTTGAAGCAGTTTTGAAGGCAATAAACAGCAGTTGTGGGAGTTGGAGAGAGCAGGGAAGATGCCGTTCGGTAATGGTGGTGGACATACCTTGTGAGGGACATACAGGAGATATTCCTTGGGTTTTTCCTGTGTCAGAAATAATGCTGAAGGTGCTTTCTGAGAGTAGGATGGGAAGCTGAAGTTCAGAAATCAAGCCAGTGGGGATTCAAGCCATAGTAATTTGGGTGTTAAAGTTAAGGTGAACTTCTAGTTTAGAGACAGAATAATGAAGTCATTTCTTCTCTTGGTAATCACTCAACAGCAACAGAGAATGAGAAACAGAAGTGCAAACTCCAGCTTCAACAAAACTAGGAGACATCTGAAACTCTTAAATCTAAAATAGGTGAGAGTTGAAAAGGCAGTGAATATCAAGTGAGAATACAGGAGGATGACTGCTTCTGCAGTGTCTGAGTAAGCTAAGTAGAGTGTCTTCCTTAAGTGAAGTGATCTGTAGGAGCAGTCTGTCAGAGTGTCAAGGACAAAAAGAGACCTGACATTCTGACAGCCCTATAATGCCTGATCTTCATTGTCAGAGTTACAGTGGTCCCCACAACCCTGAATCATGAAAGAAATTTCTGCTAGCCTGACCACTGTCCAACAGGAAAATCCTGCAAATACGTGGGAAGAATCTCATTTAAAGATGAGTCATCAGTTTTTCCCGCCTAGGTATATAGCAATTTCCTCCTAAAAATGAGTTGTTTTTTTTTTTTTTTTTTAAAAAAAAAAAAAAAAAAAAAAATTTTTTTTTTTTTTTTTTTTTTTAGGAGATAAGGTCTCACTCTGTTTCCCAGCCTGGAGTACAGTGGTGCATTCATAGCTCATTGCAGCCTCAAACTCCTGGGCTCAAGTGATCGTCCCGTCTCAGCTTCCTGAATAGCTGGAACTACAGGCATGCACCACCACACCCAGCCAAGAGTTCGTTCATGACTCCTCTCCTACATGCTACATCAAATCTTTAAGCAAATACTGTTGACTCTATCTTCAAAATATATCCAGAATCTATTTCTCACTAATTCCATTACCATCCTAGTCCAAGCCCTTGGGCTCACCTAGAATATTGTCATAATCCATCTTCACAGTTGGCTTCCCAAGGTTGTTTTTTTTTTTTTTTTTTTTTTTTTTGAGACGGAGTTTCACTCTTGTTACCCAGGCTGGAGTGCAATGGCGTGATCTCGGCTCACCGCAACCTCTGCCTCCCGGGTTCAGGCAATTCTCCTGCCTCAACCTCCTGAGTAGCTGGGATTACAGGCACACGCCACCATGCCAAGCTAATGTTTTGTATTTTTAGTAGAGACGGGGTTTCACCATGTTGACCAGGATGGTCTCGATCTCTTGACCTTGTGATCCACCCGCCTCGGCCTCCTAAAGTGCTGGGATTACAGGCTTGAGCCACCGCGCCCGGCTTTTTTTTTTTTTTTTAATTTAATTAGTGTGACACGATCTAATATTGCAGCTTAAGCTGCAGCTTAAGCAATATTAGATCATGTCACACTAATAAAAAGAATCTGCAAGTTCTCCTAATTCTCCTTAGAATAAAACTAAAAGTTCATATTGGAGCTTTAATGACCTTAATTCCTGCTGTCTCTTTGAACTCATAACCCTCTGTTGGCCCTAGCTTATTATTTTCATTACATCTCTTAACTTTGTTTTAATATTTAGCACCATCTGCCATATATATGTCATATATTTTATACATATATGTGTACGTGTATATATATGTGTGTGTGTGTTTGTGTGTGTGTGTGTATATATAGAGACAGAGACAGTGACAGTGTTTGTTGTGTCTCCTCTCCACTAGAGTCTAAGCTTCATTAAAGGAGAGTCTGATTTTGTTTGCTGTTGTACTCCCTGCCTAAGACTGCCTGGCACATAGCAGGTGTTCAATAAATAATTGCAGTTAATCAGACAATTAAAAAAATAAAAGCGGAGAGAGATCCAAGCTGGCTGATTACTAGCAGCTCAGGATTGTAGTTCCCAGTGAAAGCGCAGAGAACAAGAGGACGCCACACTTTCAGATGAATTTTTGTTGCTCACGGACCAGGAGATTCCCAGCGGAGGAGCTCCACGGGTCCCCAGCGCGGCTCTTGTGGCCGGCACAGCGGTTTTGCCAGTACCCTGGCGCAGCGGTTCTTGGTGTAGAGTAAACGGGTCCCCTTTTGGTTGAGGTTTGGAGCTCCGGGAAGGCAGAGTCACCTATTCAGCTGATTGAAAAAGGGACTCAAGAAGGAAGCCAGACCGGAGATTCCCAGGCAGAAAAGCGCCACAAATCTTAGTGCTGCTGTTTTGGCCGGTGCAGTGGGTTGCTCCGATTCCGGCGCTGGGAATCAACAAGTTGGATGTCCACTCAGAGACCTAATTTGAAAGTCGGTAATTACAAAGACGACAGGTGGATAAATTTACAATGATGGGAAGAAACCAGCGTAAAAGGCTGAGAATGCCCAAAATCAGAATGCCTCTCCCTCTACAGGGGATGACAGTTCCTCATCAACAAGGGAACAAGGCCTGATGGAGAACGAGTGTGTTCCATGAACAGATTTAGGCTTCAGAAGGTGGATAATAAGAAACTTCTGTGAGCTAAAAGAACATGTTCTAGCCCAATGTAAAGAAACCAAGAACGTTGAAAAAAGGTTTGACGAAATCCTAACGAGAATAGACGATCTAGAGAGGAATATAAGTGAATTAATGGAACTGAAGAAAACGAGAACGCCGTGAAAAAAACAAAAAACCCCCACAAAGATACAAAAAAATGACAAAGAATGAAATGTGAGGTGGCAGAACTCAGGAAATTAAAAAATAATCGTAAAATGGGAATGGTGGGGTATATAGTGTTTGAATCATGTTAAGGGGAATAAGGAACAGGAATTATAAAGAAAAATAACATAAGAGACAAGAAATACACATGCACATAATTGGCATTCCTAAAGTAGAAAACTTCCATTTTATATTTTTATAGATGAAAGCACAGAGAAACTTTGCTCACATGAAAAAAGTCAATAATAGATTTTAGAAATGTCACTCTTCTGAACTCTTAGGCCAAAAATCCTAGTAATCTTTCATCAAAATTTATTTTTAATCATTAGCTGACAATTCGCTTGTGTCCTAGTTTCATTGAGGGCATCTGGCAGATGACAGAAACCAACTGACTTGCAAAGGGAGTCATTCAGGCCTCAAGATCAACATGAATGTTTCAAATTGTCCCTTTGGAGCCATGAAATGTTTTACTCCCTGGGACAATTAAACACAGTAGGTCTGGCATGGCTGAGAGGTATTGCCTTTCCTCTAGTGGGAGAAATGTTGTGAAATGAGAGGTAGTTGTTTTAAGGCAGGTCAATTTAGGAACAAATAATACCTATGGATGTACAGGATTGGGAAATTCTCTAATTAACCCCTTTATGTACTCAGAAGCATGTATATCCTACTAGTTAACAATGCTAAGTACTGTTAACAGGTCAAGGGAAGAATTTAAAAATTCTGTTTTAGGAAAATGTCATCAATTGATTTGATGAAAGTTTTCAGCGCTCTTGTGTCAAGGTTGGGTAGAAGCCACATTGGAGTAGATTGAGGAGTTTGGGTATGGAAGTAAGAAATAGAAGCAGTAATAAAAAACTTACTAAAATTAGACATGGGAGATGAGAGAATTACAGCCAATGTAGGTGGTACCTAGGGGCAACTGCTTTTTTTTTTAATATGTGAAATACTTGAACAAATGCCAACAGAAAACAGTCAACAGATTAAGGGAGAGGCTGAAAACTCGGGAGATAATAAGCACCGTTTACAAGATTTAACAGTAGGTTGGGTGCAGTGGTTCACACCTGTAATCCCAATACTTTGGGAGGCTGAGGCAGGAGGATCACTTGAGGCCAGGAGTTCAAGACCAGCCTGGGCAACATAGCCAGACCTTGTCTCTACAAATTAAAATATTAGCCAGGCATGGTGGCACACACCTGTGGTCTCAGTTACTCAGGAGGCTGAGGTGGGAGGATTGCTTGAGCCTTGAGGTTAAAGCCATGACCACAATCATGCCACTGCACTCCAGCTTGGGTGACAGAGCAGGACTCTGTCTCAGGGCAGGAGGGCGAGGAGGAACCAGTGGCCAGCACTTATTGATCACTTATCTATCCACTAAGCTTTTTGCTCATTTTACCTAAGTCTCACAATAACTATGGAAGGCGGTTACTGTTACTATCCTCATTTTAGTGACCCAGAAAGGGTCAGTAAATGCTCAAGAGAGCATAAGAGAGATCAACTTATGCTCAAGGTCACTCAGTTTAGCACTGTGGTAGAGATGGAATGTCACAACCTAGAGCACAGAACATTTGTTTATGGCTGTGGATTCAGTTAAGTGACGTTCAGGGAACTTGTGTCTGAAGGTCTCTATTTCCATGTAAGATCAAAAGCAAGGACATACTGAGAGTGAGGGAAAAGAGGGTACCAAGTTTCAGAGTAGAAGTTTTACATAGTAAGAATGGAGAGCTGACTAGAGAAAATAGGGTTATGGGCAGTGTTGAGGTAAGTTAAAATCAATTTTTACTAATATTGATATATACATTTGGGAGTCTTTCTCCAATCACTGGTGAAGGTAGGAGCACTTGGATACATCTAGGGATGTAAATTTTCCAGGAAGGCATGACATTTAGCGAGAGTCATTTGGGTTAACAATCATGATACTGAACTGAGAGTCAGTAAGCCTAGATAGGACTTAAAAAGGAGGTGGAAACAGTCTATGACCTAACACAGAACAGGTATAAAGGAAGAATTGGTTAGAAGTGTTTTTTTATTTAGTGATTTTAGAGGTTGTTTTTGGATATTGCAAGTATACAGGATGTGGTTGTGGTGGAGAAAAGTAATGGAATCAAAGGCCTGTGTATAAGTAGTCACTGAAGCGAACCAGGTAGCTGAAATTTATTTCCCCCCAATTTACTCAAAGAATGTGACCTTTCTGCTCTCAAACTATGGTTCAGGCATTCCAGACACTTTTTTTCTGTACCTTCAATTCCCCTAGATTTAAAAAATTATTCTGGAGGACTTTTGCCTATTAATACAAACAGCATTGCAATCTGTATCTGAAAACATTCTTTTCAATAGACGACTGTTAGGTTATGGGTACAAGTAAACACTTGGGTATCAGCAAACATTTAAACTAAGTGTATTTCAGGTATTAAATTATGAATAATATGGAAAAGTTGCCAATAAACTTTCCACTGAATGGTGTTTCACAGCACAAAAATAAGCTGTATTTTCCTGATACTTTGTTTTCTTTTTATTTTTATTTTTCTGATACTTTCTAGTATGGACACCAAGACAAGTTGACATCAGTTGCCTTCTAATTTCTTTCATACTTAAAAGATAGCATGATGTTTAATGGGTGTCAGGAAACCAGGCCATATGGACGAATAAACGTAAATTCAACCCTGAATTTTGTTAACACCCAATACATGAATTAACTGAAATCTGGATTTCTCTATACGGAGATGAAAATACTCTTAAAAATTGTAATACTCAGGCCGAGCGTGGTGGCTCATGCCTGTAATCCAAGCACTTTGGAGGCCAAGGCGGGCAGATCACCAGAGGTCGGGAGTTCAAGACCAGCCTGACCAGCGTGGTGAAACCCCGTCTTGGAAAAAAAACTGTAATACTCATCTCTATCCCATTCTTAAATAAAAAGCAATCTTCACTTTCGACTTAGTTATAATAAGCAATCCTAGACATTTGGAAATTAGTGGGTGTTGAATAAAGCCAAACTTTTTCAAACAAAGTATTTGTTAAATGTCATACATATTGTCTACCATCAAGTGATTGAATATTTTACTATAAAGGGTAGCACCTATTTTTCAAAGATGTGAGAAATTTAAAATTGCAAGATGGAGTCTATCGTCAACCAGAAATCACCTGTTCTAGTTGTTAAATTTCTTTTTAACATATTCTAAATTTCAGAGTGACAAAATAATAATTTTGAAAAACTCCAACACTCCAAATACGTTCTTTAAGTATCTAGATGGATGATAGTTCAGCTCACAAACAGGTTTGACTAAAGCCTTTTAACTTGTTCATTATAAACATTAAGAATTTGGACCCAATTATCCAAAGATCCATTTACTAGTTCATAATGCAATCTGTGTTAATCAGCTGTACAAATCAACCACGTAATAGCAGTCAGATGATTCTATTCTCACATCAACAGAAATAGTAATAAAATTAGAAAGTAATAGTTTTTAGTAATTAATAAAATAGCACTGGAATAAAATGAAGAGAATTTCTTGTTTCAGCTTCTTATCAGTAAGCCTGTTCCTCATTTGTAGATGAGGATAAAGGTATCACAGTCAAATATGGGAAACTGCTCTTTATTTAGACCTTCGGGACAAACTTAACTTTGGTCACATATTACTTAAAAAAAAATCCAATTTTACATATTTCTAAATAGATAGGACTAAATGATCAGGGAAATAATTTCTTCTGTAAAAATTGGCCAAATTTTATCAAAAATCTAACACAATGTAATTCAAATTATATAAAGACTAGTTGGGATCATAATATTCCAAATGTATGACAGTTGTGACTCCATCCTAACAGGTGTGAAAAGTACTTGCTCTCATGTTGCTTTGGTCCAGAAGAGTAGAGCTGACTTAGTAACAGGAAACTAAGTACCTAATCTTTTGCCAAAATTAATTTAGATTGTGACTGGCAGCAGAAATATCCATGATAAATAGCTCTACAAAACAAAGATAAAAGAATATTTTTCATGAACATATCGCAGTATCAAATACATTTTTTATAAGAGGAAAATATGAAGGAAATGATGAAATAGCTACCACAAAAAAAAAGAAGGGTCTCCCCCATAAGGTGATGAAATTAGAGGGATGATGATAATATCAAAGGAAGTTGAGTACTGTATTTATTTCTTATTTTATACAACTCTTACTCTTTACAAAAATGGTTATAGTCATGCCCATAAAAGTGTAACCCATGGCATTTGAAAGCAAACACTCTTTGTAATTATTTAAAAGGGCCTTTTAAAAATTATAATACAAAGGTCTGTGCTCTATAAGCAGTCCTCCACTGTGCATTATAACAATAAGGCTTACTTTTAATACAAAGACTAAGTGTTTGGGAGTTATGAACCACTGGATTTAACAAACATCATTTTATAATTGCTTTTTGCATCTTTTTTGTTTTTGGGATCCTCCACTTCATCAGGGTGCTCAGCAGCTTGGAGTTCTTCAGCAGATTCTTCTTTCTCTGACTCTGAATCGCTTTCAGAGTCATCTGGACTTTCAGGATCAGGTGAATCATCATCGTCATCATCATCATCTCCAGCCACATCACCTTCTCCATCATGATCTTCTACCTAAAACATCAATCAACAGGCTCTTTTAAAAAATAAACATTAGCCAACACAAAATCAGAGAAAGACCCTATGTTCTGTCAGTCTTAGAAGCACTGTGCTTTGTAGCCATTAGAACAACAGCTTTAAGACTTGAGTAGAATTTTAAGAAAGGGCTCTGGCCAGGCCCAATGGCTCACACCTGTGGCTGGGATTCCAGCTACTCAAGAGGCTGAAGAGGGAGGGTGGGGGACAGGAGGAGGGGACTACTTGAGGCTAAAAGTTTGAGATCAACCTGGACAACATAGACCCTATCTCTTAGAAAGAAAGAAAGAAAGAAAGAAGAAAAAAAATTAGCCAGGCATGGTGGTGCATGCCTGTAGTTCTAGCTACTCAGGAGGTTCAGGTGGGAGGACTGCTAGAGCCCAGGAGTTCAAGGCTGTAGTGAGCTATAATCACACCACTGCATTCTAGCCTGTGTGACAGAGCAAGACTCCATTTCTTTTCTTTTTTTTTTTTTTTGAGACCAAGTCTCGCCCTGTCACCCAGGCTGGAGTACAACGGTGCGATCTTGGCTCACTGCAGCCTCCACCTCCCAGGTTCAAACTATTCTCGTGCCTCAGCCTTCTGAGTAGCTGGGATTACAGGCGCCCACCACCACGCTCAGCTATTTTTTTGTATTTTTAGTAGAGATGGGGTTTCACCATGTTGGCCAGGCTGGTCTCAAACTCCTGACCTCATAATCCACCCACCTTGACCTCCTAAAGTGCTGGGATTACAGGTGTGAGCCATCATGCCCAGGAAAGACTCCATTTCTTAAAAAAGAAAACAAGAGGGAGGTGCTCTGAAGACCACACACCTATCTCCCCTCCCCTAGTCTGAAAACCACTGTATTATGTTTTCCTGGAAGAAACAATTTTTTAAATTAATAAGGCATGCTAACCACTGACATTTATGTGGAAATCAGTTATCAATGTTTTGCACATTATATTACTTTGGAGTAAATAATAGTCACACATAAATTTATAATATAAAAAGATCACTTAGGAAACAAGTGAAAAAAAGCTCTCCTAAACCATTAAACTTACATAAAATATTATACCTAACTTGTGAGCATGTTGTTCATGCGTATTAAAAATGTGCCCTGGCCTGGAATGGTGGCTCATGTCTGTAGTTTCAGCCCTTTGGGAGGTAGAGGCGGATGTGTCGTTTGAACCCAGGAGTTCAAGACCAGCCTGAGCAACATAGCAAAACTCTGTATCTACAAAAAATACAAAAATTAGCTAGGCGTGGTGATGCAGGCCTATAGTCCCAGGTCCTCAGGAGGCTGAGGTGGCAGTGAGACTGTGCCACTGTAACCAGCCTGGGCAACAGAGTGAGAACCTGTCACAAAAAAGGGGGGAAAAAGGTGCTGTAATGATTAAGTAGAATTTACACGATTAGAAAATACACCTTAAAGTCCTTAGCAACAGGCTGGGTGAGGTCTGATGTGGTGGCTCATGGCTATAATTCTAGCACTTTGGGAGGCCAAGGTGGGCGGATTGCCTGGGCTCAGGAGTTGAGGCCAACCTGGGCAACCCGATGAAACCCCATCTCTACTAAAATACAAAAAATTAGCTGACGTGGTGGTGTGTGCCTGTAGTCCCAGCTACTCAGGAGGCTGAGGCAAGAGAATTGCTTGAACCATTGCTTGAACCTGGGAGGTAGAGGTTGCAGTGAGCCGAGATCATGTCACTGTACTCCAGGCTGAGCAACAGAGTGAGACTTTGTCTCCAAAAAAAAAAAAAAAAAAAAAGATAGGCCAGGTGTGACGGCTCAAGCCTATAATGCCAGCACTTTGGGAGGCCAAGGTGGGTGGAATTTGAGACCAGCCTGACAACATGGTGAAACCCTGTCTCTACAAAAAGTAGCTGGGTGTAATGGCAGGCATTTGTAACCCCAGCTACTCGGGAGGCTGAGGCAGGAGAATCACTTGAACCCGAGAGGTGGAAGTTGCAGTGATCTGAGATCACACCATTGCACTCCAGCCTGGGTGACAGAGTAAGAGTCCATCTCAAAAAAAGCAAACAAACAAAAAATACCACAAAAATCCTTAGAAACATCTCTTCTGATTATCTACAGAGACCAGTAGGGTATATACAATTATTTTTAAGGTTAATTACATAAAGAAAGCTTTTTACATGGGATTCTTGATTGCTAGGGTAATCTAACAACAAATGATACCAAATTGAAAACTAATTATCTTCCCAAGAAAATAAGTTAATTACTACCTCACTGAAGCCAAGTCCACAATGTCGCCGATATCTTCCTGATAATTTACTGTCCATACTTTGCTGATATTGAGACTCCAGTTCTTCATTTATTTTCTTGTCTTCTTCCCCTGCATGTCCAGGATACTTTAGTTATGTTTCAAATTAATAATGTACACAAAAAAACCATAATAGAGATGCTATTATGCTCATGGCTGATTTATCTAATTGTTACTAATTTTACTATGAATTTTGAGAATAAACTTTTTTTTTTTTTTTTTTTTTTTTTTTTTTTTTTTTTTTTTTTTTTT